GTTATGTTGCTATGTTACTATGTTAGGTTAGTTGTTACTTGCTACTGTGTTAATATTAAAAGTAGTGTGAAAGCTTGCATACCGTACACCGTACACCCAAAACTCCGAAATCACATGATAGCACTCCGGTGACTTTGGTCCTTCTCCATGTGTTTCAAGCACTCGCCAGCCACGAAGAGAATCACATTGGAAAGCATGGCCACACCTAGCTCTCGGAGGGGCTGCAAATGCTCCTCGGCCACGCCCTCAATCTCGGCATAGTCCAGCGTCGCTGACCGCACCCTGGCCAAAGAATCAAAACGGATCTCCGCTTGATCCGCCCACTCTGTGATTTCCCGACTCAACCCTTCGGCAGCGTCGTTATTCAAAGTGAGCAGCTGGTTGGCAAGGTTGGAGAGGCTTTTGATGGCAGCCTCAAGGACACGCCTGCGGGTCCTATTCGTCCAAATGCTGCTGTCGCTGAAGGTCTCCTTGTGTTTTGTAAGGGCTTCGGTCGCCTTGCTCATGAGCTCCTTCGCCTTCTTGCTGCCCCGGGGATTTACCGGAGGATCGGTCGGACGGAAGGGTGCGGGCAGCGACCCTTGCAATGGCGGCTCACTGCGAGGAGGCGACAACTGCCGAGGGTGGTTCGAGTGGCCTGGTGGTGTCTTATTCGTACGTGGCTTCTTTAGCTTCGGCTTGTCTGCTGCCGAGGACGACGCAGGATTCGAATCAAAGACACCAAACTGCATTCCACCAGCACCGCATTGCGAACCATCATCTGCAGTCGGGGCTTCGGATTGCACATCATCCTCATCATCCATCTGACCATATCGCATAGCACGAGCCCTGGATGTTCCTACATCCGTCACTCCACGCAACATGGCCCGATGACCGTCAAGCGACTGGGCAAAGGTCTGCTCACAAACCTTCCTGTTGCCACGCAGATCTTCATCCTCCTGCCCCACACAGTAATTGCAGAAGCACTCGTGACTCATAGGCTCATAGATAGACGGATAGACTGAGTGATAGATTGATAGATAGACAGTGATCAGTGATAGTCATAGACAAGATAGACTGGACTGGACTCATTAAAATTTAAATTGAAATCATAAACTGACAAGCACAAAGACCGACACGTGACATGAATCATTGCAGCATTGCAGCACAATGTGTTAACATGTGAAGTAGGCTACGACCTGTGCGACGAACAATAATCTCTCCTGTTGCTTCTTGGTGCCCGTCCGCACCCCAATGTGCAACTTCTTGCGCCCGTCACTGTGCTCGTGCTGGATCACTCCAGGCTTCCCGTCGTCCCACGTGATTTTTTCCACTTCAGTGGCAGCAAGAACCCAAGCTATTTTGGCGTCTTGGGACTTGAAAGAAGCCGGGTTGCCGCCAGCCTCTTTGATGAAGGTGTCCAGCGGCAGCCACCACGCCTCTTCGAATTTGTCCGCATACCTTATTGTTTCTGAAGCAGCTGCAAAGACTCATTGCCGGGTGGGGTCGGGAGCATAACAAGTCCGATGAAGGGAAGGAAAAGAAGGCACTATGACTAGTCAGCAAGCGAATCTTGCACTTGGTAGCATCGAACGTCGAAGCCCTCCGTCGGCATTCGTGCCCCGGGCAGTGCTGCCACCGTGCGATGCTCATTGTACTTGTCATCGATCTCCTGTGAGACAAAAGTCAGCATACTGCATACACGTCACATATTTATATAATATAAAGGAAAACTGTTTTCTGCATTCTGCTGTATACTTTTCCTGTTTCCTGTATTTTGAATAAACTCTGCACTTCAGGTGCCTGTCAATACTTCACAAGTCTAGTTTCTTGTTGACATACTGTGTACACGTGTACATACAGTACAGTTGAAATTAAATATCAACGCCAATAAGTCAATAGGGTGTATATAGTATACAGTCATACAATCTTACAGAGTCATATAAGTCATATAAGTATAAGTCATATAGGATTACAGGAGTCATACGGTATACAGTATACAGACGCTCTTCAAACTTACAAGTTTTTTGCTATTACCTAGCCTATACTGCCTATACTCCTGCTGATAAATTGCCGGCCAGCAGCTGGGATCTCAGATCGTAGGCGCTTCAGCTCCCCCAACTTCATCCGCCCGAACTTTGTGCACCGCGTTTTCTGGCAGCACAGATGCACATTCATATAGAATCTAGAAATCGCTGTGACGACTCACTCGCTCAGTCACGGGGGAGGTGTCATGACTTATGAGACAAGTTCTGAGTCGAGTAATGAGTCATGGTTATGTTATGTTGTGTGTTGCGAAGTTATGAGTTATGAATCATCATATGAATAAGACCAATAATACTTAATAATAATATCTGAATATCTATGAAGTTATGTGTTATGAGTTATGAGTTATGAGTTGTGAGATATGATATGAGTTATCTGTTGTGATATGAGTCGTAACTCACGAAGTTGTGAGTTATGTGGTGCGACTGTGCGGCAAAGCAATGACTCATGAGTCATGAGTTCTTGTAATAGCGACGCAGTGATGACTCGATGTCGATGCCCGATTGTTATGACGCCGGAGTCATGACAACATTGACAATTGATTTGAACCATCCCCGTCTCCCGAACATTTCATATCATATCTAATTATCTAATTATCTAATATCTATCTGGCACGTACTATCATCCATCAGTAGTCAGTGCGTCTATCCCAGTGGCTCTGGCCTCGCATGGAAAGCATTCATTGCCGTCTGCCACTTTCTCCCCATTGACCTTCTTGAAGCGGCTTGGCTTCAATTCCACTTCCGCATCCAAGCAGTACCGGTCGTACTGGCCGAACAACTGCTCGCACTGGTCACACTTCCCTTGCATCGTCCCTTCTGCGAGCGAGGCTGCACGTAGAAGCAACACTATACAGCGCTCAGAAGCTT